TGTAATTAGGGCTGTTCATTTTCTCTTTTCTAATTGTTTATTGTCTCATTTTTCTTGTGGTTCTGTCAAGTTTTACATCGTGTTATTCAGGGCATAAATAGTAGTGTTTGTTAGTTGACACCTTTATCATTATAGAGTGGCCATCTTTATCCCTGGTGGTCTTTGCTCCAAAAACTACTTTGTCTGATGTTCATATGGACACTTCCAGCTCTCTCTTGACTAGTGTGAGCCTGGTATGTCTTTTTCCTTCCTTTTACTTTTGACCAATTTGTATCCTTGTATTTAAAGGGGGCTTGTTGCAGACAGCATGGAGTGTTACTTTTCTCTTCAGTCAGAAGGTCTCTGCTTTTTGACTGATGAGGGTGTGCAAACCACTTACTTTCAATGTGAGTATTGGTGTTGTTTCATTGAAGTCGGCTGTCCTTCTGTGTGCGTGCATTCCCCAGGACGACACCTGGACCCTTCTGTGAAAGCAGGCTTGAACCAACCTCATAAATGAGGAAAGGCCCAGATTTTCTCCTACGATTGCCACTAGGATTTTTACTATTCCCCTAAATTTTATATTACATTTATTGAGTTCATCAAAAATCCAGTTAGAATTATGTTTAAGATTGCATTCAGTGTGCAGATTGCTTTGTGGCAAAGTTACCTTTGTAATAAGCTGTCACCCCACACTGGGGCCCGAAGTTTCCTCTGTTCATTCAGATACTCTAACATGCCCTTTATTAGGGTTTTTTTGCTCTCTCCACTGGGGCCTTGTAGCTGGGTGTCGAGTTCCCAGGCCCTCGGTCACTTCTGGAACTGTGTTCTTGGGCCCCTCCCACTCATTCTGTTCCCTAATTACGTTGCTGTTGTTAGTTTTGTATTTTTGGCTTTTGTATCCTAGCCCAGCTGCGATGGTCTGTTCTGCTGCCTCTGTTGGTTTCTCTAGATGCGCTGTAACATTTACAAATACAGTTTTCTGTTAAAAAATAGCAGTAATGTCGATGGGCTCCCTCCCCACTTCCCCCCAGCCCACCTGCCCCCAGAATGTATTTCATGACTCTCAGAACCTAGTGTTCCTGTTTGTGGGAGAATGAGCATCTGGAAGAACTGAGCTTTGGCCTTTAGCAGACTCACCTCTATAAATCCTGTTCGTGTGCATAAAACAGAATACATGAAGTAATGGAATAACCTTTGTGTTTAGAAGGAAGAACTGAATAATCAACCTTCCTTGACCTATCGTCTCTGAAATTAGATTGTCGGTGTTCTTTGGAGCATCTCTTCATTATCTTAAACCTCTGTATATTCTGCCGTACTGCAGTTATGTCTTGGCACGAATGTTTTATTACTTCACCCACTGGTCGTGAATATCACAGATACAGAAAGGCTTCATGATATTGCTGAATCGCAGGAATTTCCCACAAGGTTGCCTCCCAAACCAGCGTGGTTTGCATCTAATTCAGTAAATGTAGCACTCTGGAGAAGAGCATCTGCGGGGCTGATTTTAAGTACCGAAAGTAGGAGTGTCAAGAAGGCTGTGGAAGCAGGTGCTCCCTAATATTACAGAGTCCACCCGCACCCCTCCCGGCCGGCGCGCACAGGACCTACGTGCACACCCGCGTGCATGGGGACCGCACGTGTGCGCCCTGTCCCACTTCACGCGGGCCCAGTGCAGAGAGAAGACTCACCCTCTTCCTACACGTGAGAGAACCGAAGCGTGGGCAGATTTTTCAGGGCACAGTCCCTGCTTCTGGGTAGAAGAGGGCCGGGAGGCTGTCCCCACCAGGCCCTGCTGCCCTTTCTTGGTGGCCTGATCCTGGCCACACCAGTGAGGTGTGAGGGGTCCACACCTCTGGGTGCACTCTCACTCAGTTGAGCTGAGAGGTTAAAATGAATCCATCTGGTCCACATCCGACCTGCAGTACAAACAAGATTCCCTTCCATTTCTGTGGCATGAGGATGACGAAGACCAGCCTTCTGTGGTGCTCAGACTAAACTCCACGTGTCTAGACAGCTTGGTCCTCCCTCCTGACACCCAGATGTCAGCACCACGGTGCTCAGCTCGCTTGACCCTGAAGCTTTTGTGCTCAGAATTACTGAAACCCAAGAATAATTTGAGGTGGCAAACCGTGTGCCTTCTGTTTTTTTCTTCCAAATGTTAGTTTTATACATTTAGTCTTTTCTAGAGCTGAGCATCAAATGAGTGCAACTGCAACATGATGTGGTAGGAAAGGTGGGTAGAAGTTACAGTGTGAGATTTTTTTTTTTTTTGTCTTGTGAAAGAAATAACTTTGTATCAATTAGAGTTGGCCAGTAGTAAAACTTCCTGGATCTGGGCTGGTCGTCCTTAGTCCTTTGAGGATACTGAAGCGGTAAAAGCAAGGTGGTCTACCACCCCTGCAGACTCCCGACTCCACATCTGGGATTCGGGCCGTAGGTGACCAGACACCCCACACTGGGCTTCAACTTGAAACTTCAACTTCACTACTGGTAGACTCTAACCAGTTTACTAAGAATCTTAACTAAGCAGGTGTGTTAGAGTTCTACCAGAGGAACAACTGGTAAGAGAGAGAGAGAGAGAGAAACAGACAGAGCCCACGATCGATTTTCGGCCGCCCCCACAGGGGGATTTTTTCCTTCCTCAGGAAAAACCACAGTTCTGCTCTTCCGACTTTGCTGCTGAGTAGCTGAGGCCCACCCACGTCCTCAGGGGTCATCTCCTGTACGTAAGGTCAGCTGACAGCCGATGTCGACCACGGCTGCAGATGCCTCTGAGTGCGGCTCCCGTTAGTGTCTGAAACCGGAGTGCTCTCAGACGAGCCACGATCGGCCCAGTCTTGCTTTCCTGCCCCTGGTTAGTCTCTCTGGGGACAGCTGCCCCACCGGTGTAACGCTTCAGTCCCCGCGGGCAGCCTGGCCAGTGAGGGACCTGCGGGGCGGGGGTGGGGGGCCTGGCCTAGAGCAGAGCAGGAGGGCAGCCGCCACCCACGTGCTTGCTCCCTTCCTGCGTGGGACCCAGATGTCACGGGCTGCTCACGCGAGTCTCCAGGAGAGGCAGGCCTAGCGTGTGTCCACAGAAGCCTCCGCCACCCAAGGACGCCATGTGGGCTCTGCCCTCCCACGCTGGGCCTGCAGCTCTCCTCCGCCTCACTCTCTTCAAGGCACCTGCAGTCCCTGGGTGACTGTCTCGGAGCCCCCAGCGGTTTGGGGCTCAGCCTCAGACTCCATCTGACCCCACTCTCCACATTTTCCCAGCCTGGGAAGGAAGGGGTGAAGGCTCGCAGTGACAGGGCTGGTCTGTTGCCCCTCGGCAAGCCCCGGGGGCGGGGGGGGCACCTGAGTGTGGCCTTTTCTTGGTGTGAGAGATCTTGCTGTCTGCTTGCTCTCTTCTGTGGGCTTGGGGATCGGGGTGCCAGGAGAGTCCCTCCCCTGGGGGCCGGTGACAGGACGTGCCCCGTGCACCTGGCAGCACCTGTCACAGCCTCTGTCTGTAACTTGGGAGGCCTCCTCCAGGACCCTGTTCACAGGTTCCAAACCTTTTTTACTTTCTACTTAGGTTTTAGGAGTATTATCTTATTTTTACTAAAGGATTTTTTTGTTTCTGGATTTCCAACCATTTTTTTGTTCCTTCTGTTCCTGTACTATCTCAGCGCCGTTGCTATGATTCCTTGCACCCGCGCCTCCTCTCAGACAACAAATGTTTGAGGCTCAGGGCTTTTATAGCTGACGGCTTGAAGTGGGGGCATGTTCCTTCACGGAACACAATGGTAGGGCTCAGAGTTCAGTGTCAGTAACAGTAAAGACGAGAAGAAACACAGCGGATGACCTTGAGTTTTAGCTCTGTCTCTGTGAGACTGGACACCTGAGCATCAGGTTTGCCCTTGACTGTCCACAGATACCTCCCGCCCGTTGTCATGGAGCCGGGTCTTACCTTGTGCGGCAGGTGTTTGGATTGTGTGCTGTGGGGGGTGGAGGGACAGAGGCCTTGCTGTGGTCATGTGAGTGCCCGTCACCGGAGCCCAGTCCTGTAACCCACGTATGGCAGGCTCACACCTTCTGTAAGGTAACTTATCATATTCATAAAAGAAGAAGAAGTTATAAATTGATATAGAAAAACAACATTTATATCACAAATTTATCTGTGTATGTTGTGCTTGCACCATATGGGCATTAAAGTGTCCTTGTGCTCCAGAGAACTCTAGATTTTATGTGGAAGCATCTGTAAAACACTTGACTTTTATGAAGTTGGAAATAAACAGAGCCTGGGGTGGAAGTCCGTGGTGAAGGACAATGTAAAGAAAAACAGGTAGCAAATTCATTCACACTCCAGAGAAACCTCTTCCTAAGTCATTTCTTCCCGAGTCCAGACAGACCAAGACTGTGACTGTGCAGCCCCGGGCGCACAGCCCGCTGCTCTCTGATGGTTCTGTCGGTGCTGATCGCAGGCCCCTCTGGGGCAGGAGGTCAGGTCCTCAGTCTGCTGCTGCCTGCGTAGAGGTCAGGTCCTCAGTCTGCTGCTGCCTGCGTAGAGGTCAGGCCCTCAGTCTGCTG